TCCCAGTAGTGAGTCCTGAGGAAGTGCAAGATGTGAAAACACAGGATGCTGGCCCCAGAGAGCTGAAGTGCATATCAAAGGAATGATTTCAGTGAGCCCAGACTCTTGAAAAGAACTTCCCATACATAGAAAAGAGCTAACTTGAGTTACCTGGTTTTCTTTAAGTTGCAATAATCTTTTGATGTTCAGACCACCTGCCTCTGTCTGGGGAGACTGCTGTCCAGGAAGCCCGAGGGTGGGTGTGGGCTCTGCTCTTAGTTCCTGGGCCCCTTTAAAGGCTAAATGGCCCACCTCCTCTCATCAAACTATTGCTTCAGCCCTAAGTTCAACAAATACATATTGCCAAGCTGTGTTTGGGGGACTGGGACAGGAACGAGGCCCCAGTGACCCCGCAGGCTCTGCCTGTCACCCCGGCGGCCTTGCTGAGACTTTCTGGCCAGGTTGCCTTTCTTGCTGGCCCAGATATGAAAACTGAAGAACAGCAGTGGCCAACAGCCCCCCTCTGCCACGGGGGGACTCAAGACCTGACCGTGAAAGACGCACGCAGACAAGAACAAGGCGACGGACGGCCCCGAGTGAGTGAGTGCCCCCTACTCATCCACTCCCTCGCCAGGTGGAAGAAGAAAGGGGCAAGGGGCAGCGGGAGGGCACCTGGTGGCCCTGTGTCTGATCCTCCGCATCTGCAAGGACTCAGGGCCAGGCTGCCAGGAACGGCGCTGCCGATTGCCACAAGGGGGCGCCCCGGGCCCATCGCAGCGAGCGAGGAGGCGGGGTCTCAGAAACTAGGGAGGTGACCCGGCTGAGCAAGGCGGAAACGCTGCGGTGCACCGGGGTCTTCTGGAAGCTATCGCGCCTGCCCCGTTTTTAGGCAGCTCTTGTGTGCTTTGCCAAGGGTTGGGAAAGTGGGTGTGGAGTGACTGTGGTGAGAAGCGGGCAGTAGAAAGGAAGGGACTTCTGAAACTACTGAGTGTTCCAGGGAGGAGTCCAGAACCAAGAAGTTGGCAGTGTCACCTTGTGTGTATGTTTATATGAACCTGTCTGCGTGGGTCTGCAGGCGCCCTGCACGCACTCCTGTTGTGTATGAGCGTGAACGCATGTGCACACATGTTTCTGTGCCTGTGTTTGTGTGTGCACCCTTTGGGGGACATTGTGAATGTGGACATGGTATGATCCGTGCACACAGCTGGTGTGGATGGTTATGTATGTGTGCATCTTGTATTTTGAGTGTGAGTCTTTGTGAAAGTGCACGTGCATGAGCGTTTACACACACACACACATTTGAATTACAGGCATGCATGTGTGTGTTCATGTGTAGGAATCTTTCTCTCTCTGCAGACACCCAGAGTGGCAAAGATACAGCAGCCTGGCCGATCAAAGGTCCCCAGGATGTGGCCCTGTTCCCCCGCACCAGAATGGCCCACATCCTCAGGCAAGTTCACAGAGCGTTTCAGCCCTGGATCACAGGGTTGAGAGAGCGGGGAGGACACAGACAGCCTCCTCTTACCCCTTACAGGAGCCTCTCCCCTGTAGGGAAACGGTGCAGATAAGGGAGGGGTCAGCACCTTGGAGCTGAAGCCCACTGAGGGGAGTTTTGCAGGCTGTTGGCCATTCCATTTCTGGGGAGATCTGAACTGGGTTCTCCAACCTTCTTAGAGAACTTCTTGGCTCCAAATCATAATGATAATAGCCATCATTCATTCATTCATTTGACAGGTATTTAATGAATGCCTACTCTAGACCAGGAACCATGTAGAATGCTAGAATCACAATGAAAAGGACAGGAGCCCTGGACCTACAAGTTCATAGCCCTGTGGAAGATATAAGACATGAGTCAAATAGCCACAGAGTAACTATCAAGTTACAAACTGTATTGGGTTGTATAAGAAATACAAGTTACAATGGGAATGTAAAACAAGTATAATATAGTATGGTATAGTCTGGAGAATGAGGTAAGGCTTCCAGACACTGAAAACTGCACGTGCAAAGGTCCTGAGGCAGCAGGCCACAGAACTGAGAGGGTCCATGGGGATAATCTACAACTATCACTCCAGGATGTAAGAAACAGCTTGAATGCTCAGGAGTCTCCTGATAGAACTGGCATGAAGGACTGTTGGACTGTCAGTTCTTAGCAAGTATCTAGCCCAGTTCCTCTTGTACAGATGGGAAAACTGAGGCTCAGAGAGGGGAAGAACCTTGCCTAGAGCTGCACAACAAATTGGGGACAGATTTTGGAATTGAACTCGGGATATCCGTAATTATCATATGATACTTATATGATCCTTTTATACTGATTATCATTAACATAATACTCATTCAATATTCACAATTCATTTGACTCAGAATTTGCCCCTCATTGCAGGCTCTTGTCCTCATCTGTCACCCCTCATCCCAGCACTCCCCTAGCTTTCATTCTGCTGTCCAGCAGGAAGGGGCCTCGTGGTGGGGGACCCATGGCTGGTCCTCTCCCAGGGCCATCCATCTGCCTCTTCCCTGCCTCTGGGTGCTGGCCTCTGGCTCTCTCAGGAGGGTCCTTTAGTCTCATCTGCCACCTGGGACCAAATATCACTGAGGCCACCCCTTCCAGGCCTGGGCTCCATGCGCAGTGGTTGGTCTTACTGCCTCTAGAAGAACTAGCGGTTTGCTTCTGTCTTATAGCAACAGGTTCACAAAGTCGGTCAACATCCTCCTCTGTGAAGTCAGAGGGACTATCAGTAAGTGCCTGATGGGGAATGGATCTGAGCCTAGGTCCCTGGGAGCTGTTTGACCTTGAGGGCTCACCGGGCCCCTCTGGGCAAGGCCAGAGTCCACCCTGGGGTGAATCACCCCTTCAGGCCTCTGTCTCCTGTGAAACCAGGAGACTGGTTGTGAGTGCAATGCTGTGAGCGCAATGTTCAGTTTCTGCACGCATTAGGTTCCGTCCTGGGGTTTGGAGTTTTGACTGGAGCTGGCTTCAGGCATGGAGGGGGCAGAAATTTTTGTTTAGTGTGACAGCTCTTAGCACCTCCAATGAAACTGATGTCTCTGGGCCGGGCTAGCTGAAGCCACCTTCTCTGGAACCGGTGGCTATGGGTTCCTTAAGAAATTCTATATGAGCACAGGCAAAGTCGTGAACAAAAATCCATACAGGTCTAAGTCCACAAGTGGTGTTGGCATACAGCAATCATGGGTGGGAGCCCGCTGTGGGGAGTGCATCAGAGCGAGGGCTCAGCTTGCATGAGCCCAGGCAAAGTTTGCCCCAGTCACCAGAGCTAGCCCTCAGATAAAGGGATATAGATGCTCTTCTTTGCTCCTGCTATCATCTTGGTCCAAGCCTCTGTCATCTCGATCCTTTTGATGATGGTGATGGTGGTGGTGATGATGATGGTGGTGATGATAGTGGTAGTGGTGCTGATATGATGGTACTAAGTCTCAGTGGCTTCAATGCTTTTTGTTTTTTAATGGCCATCCTGCATGACATATGGGATCTTAAGTTCCCCGACCAGGGATCAAACCCCCACTCTCTGCAGTGGAAGTACAGAGCCTTAACTACTGGACCACCAGGGAAGTCCCTTCTATGCCTTTTAACTACTCTCTTTCCTTGCCCTCCTGTCTGTCCTCTGTAAAACAAGGGACAAAAAGCCCTCTTACTGAAAGCCTTCCAGAGAGATGCCATGCCACTTCAAGTGTTAATAGTATCCCAACCCCTTACTGGCCCGTGAGGCCCGTCTGTTGTGTCTGCTGCCACTTCACCCACCCTACCGGCCTCACGAGCTTCCTTTCCATTCCTCAGATGTACCAGGTTCATTCCTGCTTTGGGATGTCTGCATGTACTGTTTTCTCCTCCCAGAACATTCTCCCTTCAGCTACTCTCACAGCCAGCTCCTTTCATCTCCAGGTCTCAGCTCACACGCCACTTCCCTCCAGAAGCTTTCTCTGACCATCTTATTTGAAGGTGCGTATGTGCTAAGTCACTTCAGTCATGTCTGACTCTTTGTGGCCCCATGGACTGTACCCCACCAGGCTCCTCTGTCCATGGGATTCTCCAGGCAAGTGTACTGGAGTGGGTCGCCGTCCCTCCTACAGGGAATCTTCCCGACCCAGGGATCAATGCTTCCTCTCTTTCTCTTTCTCACCACCTTAACTAATTTTCTTCTTAGCTTTTATCACTAGCTGAAATTATCATACTTAATTTTTTCTCGTCTGAGACCCTGACTGGGATGCAGCTTCATGAAAGCAGAGACCACGTGGGACTTTGTCCACCTTTGTGGATATAATGGTGCAGAGTAGGTGCTCAATAAAAATCCACTTGCTGAATGAACAGATACATGAGTCCCTTCCTGCTCCTCTGTTGGTGTCCTCTGGAAACTATTGTCTTTGTCACCTGAGTTAACTCTGATCTCCCTGGTGTGATATGTGAGAATGAAGAAATGCAGGACTTCCTTGGTGGCCCAGTGGCTAAGACTCCTTGCTCCCAATGCAGGGGGAGCTAGAGTTCGATCCCTGGTCAGGGAACTAGAACCTGCATGCTACAATGAAGAACTAGTGCAGCCTAATTAAATAAATATTTTTTTTTTAAAGAGAGAGAGAATGAGGAAATGCACCTGAAGGACCTATAGCAAGTGCTCATTCAGAGCTGTCATTATTATTATTAATTATCAACAAAAGCCAGGCGGCCTGCAGTGGTAATGAATGATATTATCTCCCCCATGGTTCTTGGCACCTGCGCTGGTCCCATGGCATAACTCACTCCCTCATTAACAAGGCTGGGATGCCAGGGAGCTGTGTGGTTGGAGGGAGGATCCTCCTCCTTAACCTTGGCAGTGGGTGCTGGGAGCCCAGGCTTAGCTGCACTGAATTTGCCCATTAGCCATCAGCGGAGGAGCCCAGTTTAATCACATGTCAGTTTCCTCATTCATCTTTGGCGCTATCCGAGGCTTCATCTTTCACCACCCTATGGCGTCATGGTGATTGATGACCTCACACCAGCCCTGCTGCTGGGTTAGCACAGCTCACAGTGGGTACCCAGCCTCTCAGGGCTCTCAGCCTGGGGCTCACTGGGACTGGAATCATGTTTCTTTTAAGGAGCCCTGTTATGGACTGAATTGCATCAACCACCCACTCCCACCCCCAATTCATATGATGAAGCATAGCCCTCAAGATGACTGTATTTGGAGATCAGGTTTTAAGAAGGTAAGGTTAACCGAGGTCATAAGTGTGGGGCCCTGATCCAATAAGACTGGTGTCCTTATAAGAAGAGACACCAGTCCTCTCTGTCTGTCTGTGGGCACAGAGAAAAAGCCAGGTGAGGACATAATGAGGAAGCAATCATTTGCAAGCCAGCAAGAGAGTTCTCACCAGAAACCAAATTTTTTAGCACCTTGACCTTGGATTTCTAGTCCTCGGGACTGCAAGAAAATAAACAGTCTGTTGTTTTAGCCCCCAGCCTGAGGTATTTTGTGGTGGCAGCATGAACAGGCTAAAACAAGCCCTTGCAGCCTCCAGCTTCTGAGAGGTGGGAGGATGGGATTTGAAAAGATGACCTCCAATGGTAGCGCTTCCTCGGGCAAATGGTGAAAATGACCGCTGAGCAGAGGAGGAGGTATCTCACCCGGCATTCAGGTGAGTGCCTCCCCGGAGTGGCAGCGCTGAGACAGGGCCACCTGGGCCTGGCTGGTAGATAGGGCTCCAGTCCAACCCCATGAGACTGCAGGTAACTTGCCCAAGAGAGAGATTCTTGTGCCATCTCTACACCACCGAGAGTGGGGAAGATGAAACGAGGGAGTCTGCGGTCACTTGGCAGTGACATTAAATGCCCACTGTGATCCCAGCCCTCGGCTAGGCTGGGGCCAGGGTAATAAACAGGATGAGTCTCAGCCCTCAGGGCACTCACAGACTACTGAGAGAGACACACTAACTTAGAAACAAATGATTTCACATTGTGATCAAGTTCTGAGAAAATGAGGCATATAAGAGAGGTGGGAGGGGGCGGGGAGGGGGAGAGAGAGAATGGGGTGGGGACGGGGTAGGAACAGGAGTGGATCTTTGTTTACAGTGGCCAGAGAAGAATCTTAGCTTTGGGGCCCCTGGAAACAGATTCTGAGCCAAGAGCTGATTCTGAGCCAAGAGCTGGAGAGTTAGTATTTGGGAGGTGGTCCCAGGAAGACCCAGTGAGAGCAGAGATCTGAGATGGGGAAGGGCCGGAGCCAGTGAAGGGTGTATTTTTGAGCAGGTTAGAGCCATGACCAGCTGGGGCTAAATGCTGCAGGGATTTCTGGGAAAATGTGTAAATGTGCCTCTAATGCAGGCCAACCGAGGAGCAAAGAGGATGAAGTATGATCCACCAATTCTTCTTTGATGGGTTGAGTGTTTCTCCCAGGTGTGTTAACTACCTGGCTCATCCATCCCATCCCACAGACTCCGAGGTTGGGCATCTTCCTGTGTCAGAGAAAGACGCTGGGCAAAGAGAGTCCTATGTCCTGGCAATCGGAAGCCTTCATGGTGGGTGCCAAGGGGTGTGGGTGGGGCTGATGTGCGTGGAGTGTCTGCTACCAAACACCTCTCTGAGGAGATCACGCTGGAACCGACATCAGAATGATGAGAAACCAGCCATCGGAAGAGTCAGGAGAAGAGGTCTGTAGGTGGAGGGAAGGAAAGGTCTCAGCCCTGGCCATTGCTGCTGGAGCGTCACTTGCCAGGGCAGAGAGATCGTCTGGGGCAGCTGGGCCAAGAGATGGATCAAGACTCCCTCCGAGAGATTACCCAACCCTCCCTCCTCACCCCCTTCCTGCAGACGCCGCCTGCCCTTTGTCCTCACCTGCAGCAGAGTCACTCCACAACTGTCCTCTTGCTCCGCCTCTGCTCCCCACGTTGGCCCCACATTTTCTGAGCTTATTCTGTCTTCTTTGGCCTCAGAGCCTTAGCTTGTGTTCCCTCTTCTGAGAATGCCCTTCCACCCCATTTCTGCCTGATGAAAACCTCCAACGGGCAATCAATAAAAATTTCTGTTGAGAACCAGACACTGGGGATGGAGCATTGAATTAACACAGACCTTCATCTCAGAGTTTACAGTCTATTGAAGAAGAAAAGAAGTTAAAATGACGCATCCCACAAATTGCTATTTGCAGATTACCATGGTATTGCTAATTACAATTGTGGGGAGTGAGATGAAAGAGAGGGGAAATGGCCTAGTTCTGAAGTTTTCCAGAAGGCTGAACTTGAAAGATGAACAGTGAGAGGTGGAAGACCACTCTGGGCGGGAGGAACAGTGTGTTAGGCTCTGAGTGGAGGAGATCCTGAAAGGCTGGTGTGGCTGGAGCTGAGAGAGGGCGAGGGGACAGTGGGCAGGCTGGGCAGAGACTCTAACTGGATCCAAAGGGGTTTGGGGAGACTGGAAGGGTTTACTAATTAATTTATTTTTGACATTTATTTATTTTTATTTTTGACTGTCTTGGATCTTAGCTGCGGTATGCAGGATCTTTTGTTGAGGTGGTTGGGCTTAGTCACCCCCCTAGGCAGTATTAGTTCCCCAACCAGGGATTGAACTTGCATCCCCTGCCTTCGACTACCAGGTAAGTCCTGACTGGAAGGCTTTAAATCTACCAGATCAGTGGCCTGAGAATTCTGAGACCACTCCCAGGTTTGCTCTTAGCAAATCTACATTTGGCCCCAATGCCCTGGCATGGGACGGTCAGTTGGTCTGCTCTGGGGGACGGCTACTGCCCCAGGCCCTTTCAAAGGGTCTCATATATTCTTCCAGACCTTCATTGAAGTCCTTCCTCTCTGGGAAGCCTTCTAACCTTGAAATCAGAAGAGATATCACCTCCCATGTCCTCCCCTCCCCACACTTGGCTCTTGGCATCTTAGGGGCACTAGTGTGAAGGGGAAAGTCCTTCTGAGGGTAGGGCAGCCCAGGCTCAGTGGGAAGGGGGCTGGGGGGTGAGGGCCTGACCTGGCTGTGGGCAGGTGAAAGTCTTAGTTGCTCAGTTATGTCCGACTCTTTGCCACCCCATGGACTGTAGCCTGCCAGACTCCTCTGTCAATGGGATTCTCCAGGCAAGAATGCTAGAGTGGGTTGCCATTCCCTTCTCCAGGGAATCTTCCTGACCCAGGGATCGAACCCCAGTCTCCTGCACTGCAGGCGGATTCTTTACCTCCTGAGCCTGCAGACTCTCCCCCTGTGCCTCCCAGGGTCCACACCCCTGCTTGCCCCTCACACCTGAATCTTGCAGGATGAGGGACTTTATGACTTCATCCACAGACTTGGTAGGGGAGGGTCTCTTGTCCTGATTGTCAGGTCTGGGTGGGAAGCAAGCTGGCATCCGCTGCTGTGCTTTGCAGGTCCCTGGAACCAAGGCTCGGGCGGTAGAAATGAGACTCCTGGCAAACCCATCCTGCTGCTCCCTGCCCCCTCCCGGGGCTGCTCAGAGGGTGGGAGATGCCTTCTATTGAGAACCCCTCTTCCCACCCCAGCCACTTTGCCTTCTGGGGGAGGGGAAGGGGAGCCACTTTCATTGTCCCTGAACACTGGCTGGCAGGGGGCCCAGGGAGGGGGCTCCCCAATAGTGAATCTGCAGCTGCCTGTCTTTAAGGTAAAATTACCGTAATTACTCCAATTACCAGATCCATCAAGAGCTTTGGACTGAGGAGGCCGGTGAACAATCAGTTCTGAGGAGTGTGAGTCACGGGGTGGGGGCACAAATTGCAGGAGAGGGCGGCGGTTAATGTTAGAGCAGGCCCTCGACTGAGGTGGGGGTGGGGAAGTGCAGAGAAATCACGGTTAGCCAAACCCCACTTTGCTCTCTCAGTGCGATTTTTCTCCTCTGTTGGAAAGAAATTCAAAATAAAACTGGCTACTCCTTTCACAGAACCCCCCACACCTCATGGCCAACTGACCTGGTTCGTCTTCACCTCCTATGAGAGTTAAAAGAAAAAAATAAAAATGAACCAAAACAAAGTAAGAACACCAACTGGTATCTCATAGGATCTTACCCTGGGCCAAGCCCTGTGCCAAGAGCTTTTCAAGTTTCGTCCTTTCCAACCCCCTGGAGCACATTCAGTCCATTTTACAGATGTGGGCATTGCAAGTTTCCTCTTGGCCTAGATGCTCCAGACCCCAGACCCTGGGCATGGTTTGCCTCTGCGCCCCTCATCCCTGCCATGTCTGTTCTGATAAATCTGCTCTTAAAAAAAAAAAAAATTCATTTATTTTTGAATGCAAGTTCTAGTTACAGCACGTGGGATCTTAATTGTGGCTCATGGGCTCAGTAGTTGCCCCAAGGCAAGTGGATCTTAGTTCCCCAACCAGGGTTTGAACCCTCATCCCCTGCATTGGAAGGTGCTTTCTGAACCACCAGCCCACCTGGGAAGTCCCTAAATCTGCTTTTGGCACACATGCAAGACATATTATGAAGGAAAGGAAGTACCAGTTTGGCATACTTGGTGGAATACTGAGAAGATCAGCTGACTGATCAGGCCCCTTTCAATCAGCCCATCTCCTCCCTCCCTGGCTTCTCCATCCAACTTGCAGCCTGGACTTTGGGGCCTGGAGCTCCCGAGGGGCCATTCAGCATGGACAGCGACCTTGACCACCAGGCTCACCCACCGAGATAGAAAGGTGACCCTGGTCACCCAACTGATGATTTCAGTGCTGTGGAGTTGTGTGTATTTCACCACTACTCACAATATATACAGAAAATGTACCCATTTTAACCATTTTGGGGGGTACAGTTCAGTGACATTAAGTACATTCACATTGTTGTACAGTCATCATTGTCATCCATCTCCAGAACTTTTTCATCTTCCCAAACAGAAACTCTTGGGTCCATTAAATAGAAACGCTCTGTTCCCCTCTGCCTCCAGCCCCTACCAGTAACCATCATTCTAGCTTCTGTCTCTGTGAATTTGACTACTCTAGGCACCTCATTTAAGTGGAATCATACAACGTTTGTTGTTTTGTTTCTGGTTTATATCGCTTGGTACAATGTCTTCGAGGTTCATCCATGTTGTAGCACGTGTCAGAATTTCCTTTCTTTTAAAGTCTGAATAATATTTCCTTGTATGCATAGACTACTTATTGTTTCTTTGTTCACCCATTGAGGGACTTTTGGTTGTTTTCACTTTTTGGCTATTGTGAATAATGTTGCAATGAGCATGGGTGTTTGAGTCCCTGCTTTTAATTCTTTGGGATATAGACCTGAAGTGGAATTGTTGACTCATATGGTTATCCTATGTTTAATTTTTTTTTAAAGAAACCGTCATCCTGGTGTTTCTACTTTATGACAACTAAAAATTACCCTCCCCAGAATGATGTCAACTGTTGATGATTATTTCCCCCATACTCTGAACAAAAGGGACATTCCAAGAAGGGGTGCTCTCTGGTACTCTGCCAGGCTACTCATATGCCCCTTTGAAAAGCATAGCTACTATTCATGGATTTATTTATTAATTCCACAAATGTTGACTGGTACCATCTGTGTGTCAGGAGCCCCACTACATTCCAGGGAGATAATAGGAAACTGGACACGATATCAGACTCCAGGGCTTACAGCTTGGTTGGGAGGCAGGCGTCGGTGGTACAAAGACCCAGAACCATTCTCAGAGCCCAGACCTGGGGACGGCGTCTCAGCCTGCAGTGGTGGCGCTTATGGGCTGGCCCAGACCCCGGTGTCCCTTCTCTTCCCAGGGTCTCAGCTTTATCATCTGTGAAATGGAGGTGACCAGTCTCCCCACTCCCCACTTCACTGATGTGGCAACATGGGACTCCAGTCCTCTCATTCTCTTTATTTTTTAAAATAATTGTATTCGTTTATTTATTTTTGACTCACTGGGTCTTTGTTGCGGTCTGCTGGCTACTCTTGTTGTGGAGCACAGGCTCTAGGGGCTGTGGGCTTTAGTACTTGGAGCGCTCGGGCTTAGTCGCCTCACAACATGTGGGATCTTCCCAGACCAAGGATCGAACCACAGAAATTGTCCCCTGTCTGCAAGCCTGACTCGTAACCACTGGGCCGCCAGGGAAGGTCCTCTCATTCTCTTTAAAATCTCTTCCAGCTCCGTGGAGCAGGAAGAGAATTATCATGCCCATTGTAATGACAGGCAGACTGAGGTTCGTTGAGGCAGGGCCTGTGCCGAGTCCTCGGCAGGGTCTTTCGTTCGGCAGTCTCCCCCTGCATATCTCCTCTCCTGCCCCCAGTCTTTCCTAAGCCTGTGGGGCACTGACCACTTTTCTAGCTGGGCTCCTGCTGAAGGCCTCTGAGGACAAAGATGGGGGGTTAGTGCTTCCCAGGAACCTCCCAGGCCTCCTCCCCCTTCCTTGCTGTCTTATCCCTGGCAGGAACCCCGGGCTCCAGCTGGGGCATCAGTTCCCACAGTTCCGGAAGCCGGAAGTCCAAGATCAAGCTGAGGCACGTTTCGTTTCTCCCAAGGTCCCTCTTCTAACCTTGCAGACGGCTGCCTTCTTGCTGCGTCCTCACATGGTCTTTCCTCCGTGCCTGTGCATCCCCACTTGTCTCCTCCTCTCCTTATGAGGACATCTCGGGTTTATGACCTAATTTAACCTTCAGCTCAGTCATTCAGTCGTGTCCGACTCTTTGCGACCCAGTGGACTGCAGCACGCCAGGCTTCCCTGTCCATCACCAACTCCCGGAGCTTGCTCAGACTCATGTCCATTGAGTTGGTGATGCCTTAATTGCCCCTTTTAAATCTGGTCTCCAAATACAATCACATTTGGGGGTTAGGACTTTAACCACTGAATTTTCAGGGGGTGGGGTACGGACATGATTCAATCCATAGCAGTGACTCAGTAATTAAAAGGAAGAAATGAATGACAAGAGAAGTCAGACAAAAACTCTACACACTCTATGACTCCCATACAAAATGCTAGGAAAGTCAAAACACCTTTACCGTGACAAAAAGCTTTTGCGGAGGGGTGGGTGGGAGACTCCGTAGGGGGCTTGACTGCCGAGGGGCAGGAGGGAA